CTAGAAGGAGCTCTGGTAGTGTAGTGGTTACGAATTGGGCTGCTAACCTCAGGGTCAGCAGTTAGAAACTACCAGCTGTTCCGTGGGAGAAAGATGAGGCTTTCTGCTCCCACAAAGATTTACAGCATCGGAAACCCTGTATAGGGTCGCTATGAGTCGGAACCAACTCCATGGCACATGACAACAACAACAACAATCTTCCTAGGAATGAATGGATGGACCAAGTGACACAAAGATTGTCAGATTTCACAGCCCTTTTTGTCTCCTTTTTCTTCCCTGTGTAACTGAACTAAACAAAGTTTTTTAAAAGCATTACCTGCAACAAAATATAGAACACTAATCTAACACAGTTTTCTTACATTTTCCTTCTATGTATCTAAGTTCTCCATCTTTAACTCTTCTTTCTCTGTTCTGTATATCTAGTATGTTTTCTGGGTTTGTAATTGATTTCAGCTTTGGAAGCAAGAAATGCTCAACATTCAAAACCTGATCAGCAGTCATTAAACTTCTACAAGAAACCAAGCTAAAAAGGAGGATTTGATATGATCCTGCAGATGAACTTGATCCACTTCTGGGATTCCATCTTCATTTGCATTAAATTGCTGATTTTGAACAGAAAGTCATAATAAAAAGCAGCTCTGGTAGTGTAGTGGTTACGAATCGGGCTGCGAACCGCAAGGTCAGCAGTTCGAAAATACCGGCTGCTCCGCAGGAGAAAGATGAGGCTTTCTGTTCCCATAAAGATTTACAGCCTTAGAAACCCTGTTCAGGGTCGCTATGGGTCAGAACCAACTTGACGGCACTTAACAACAACATATATCACCAGCCGCTCTGCAGAAACCCCAGTCACTATGAGTCAAAAGTGACTGGAAAGCATTTAAAACAACAACAACATGCATACAGAGTTGAGCTCAGAGAAGGAGGTTTTCCCATTTTTTCAGTTCAGGTGATCTCAAACTCAAATCATAAACCATAATGCTCACAGAAGAATGCTGATGCATAGACACAGGAGGGAAAGAGACTAAATCCCCCCACCTTGTATAAGAGGCTTCAGAGAGGAATATCTGCTTTTTGAGTCAGCCAGGGAGCTTAAAGACCCAGTGGACTTCAAAGGCGGAGTCCATGGTGGGGAGACCACAGCCAGTTCTCTGAGTCACCCTGGCCTGGAATGTCTGTGGTAGCCCTGGGGGCCCTGGGAGGGGGAGGAGAGATGAGTCACTGTGAGCTGGAAGAGGGAGCAAGTCTCAAATGCTCTTCTGCTAATCCAGTTCTCATTCCTGGGTCCTTGACTCAGAATCTAGGAGGGATTGGGAAGTGTACCTTGGGTCCTCTTACAACAGAACTATCACCCCCTGCCTTACCCCTCTGATTCTCTGACTTTCATGCCTCCTCAGACACCCTCAACCCCACACATTCACCACCTGTCTGGTTCCTCCAGCTTTTTATCTGGGCTTCGGGCCAGTTGGGGCATCCTCCACCCTTCCCATTCCTGGTGTCTTCTTTGACCCACACATTCTGGAAATTCCCCACAGTGGAACTGTGGCCTGGGGGGACATCTCATCATGGCATGGACAAGCCCGCTGGGCTGTCAGTTGGATTTATTGAACTCTTTTGACCAAATCCAGCAGGCCCTTTCAATTGCCGAAAACTTCCCAAACCTCTCTTTTCCACTTCCTTCTCTCCCAACATGCCCTGTCGGGGCCCAGCAAATACCTCTAGGAAGTTGACTTCTCTGATATTTTCCCTTGGCCTTCCCCACATTGCTCAGTTAATCCTGGAACGAGCGTGTAGAACTTGCAGACTTGAACAGGAACACTGGGCTAAAAGACCCTGGTCACATCCAGTCATGCTTGCCCCTCCCCCAAGGCCCAGGCTCATTCTTCTCTTCTCTGTTCACAGCAGGGTATAAGGGTCAGAGGTCAAAGGAAAAGTGGAAGGGGGTGGGCACTACAGAAAGGTCCCCTCCAAGGAAAAGGTGGAATGGGGGCTTAAAGCACAATTGGCCTTTGGGACAGTCCATTCCCCAAACAAATCCATGGGTCACCAGACAATGGCATAAAGCCACTGGGATCCATCTCAGAACCTTCCTCAAAAGTTCTACCACCACTTAGGGGATCCAGGGAACTCTGTCCACCCTTTTGGCACCTTCTGCCTCCAGACAGGAAGGTTCAGGTTGGGGAGCTGAAGACTTTTGACACAAACTCTCTGAGCTCATGAACTGTGTTGCTCAACAGGAAGTAGAATCCCATCAGTACCACCTCCCCCTTGGAGATCAAATCTGAATTGAATATCTTACCTTTGCCCATTAGTATCTGGGATACAGGATTTAGAGAGCTTGCCCAGGGAGAAGATTTTCTGGATGGTGAAAACTGGGTGGGTAGGCAGATGAAGGTTTCTAGGAAGCAGAAGTAAGTTATCCTGCTAGTTCAGTTACCTCTCATCCCACACAGGCACTTAATTTCATGCTGGATCTGCTCCTAGGCTGGGGAGCTCACCTGGAAAGAAAAGTGGGCAGTGTTAAGTTAACAGAGAGGCCATGAGCTTGACCTTTTTATGGTTCAGTATACCCAAGATAGGTAGAGAAAGGGAAGGCTGGGGAAGGAGACCTTGGTGGTGGTGATGGTGGGCAAGGGTGATCTGCCAAACATGCAGTCTATACCTGTCCTCTCTGTGGTAAATCCATGGACAAAGGCAAGGGAAGCATCTCAAGGAGTCTTTGGTCTGAGTGGGGAGATTCAGCCCTTAGCTTTGGGAAGCACCTATATGACAGGAAGACTATAACCCTGGTTCACATTTCTGCCCTTAGAGACTGTCTGATCAAGGAGATATAACTGAGAGTCCATAAATCTGATAGCATGGCACAGTCTCACCTCACCTCATGGGTCCTCCCCGCCCAGTCTGATGGAGGAGACAGAATCACATAATTCCCTCATACAGAGGAGCAGGGCAGTTGAGCAGGAATTGAGTCTTATAAATCTTTACAAATAATCAATTAGCTGCCTCCAACTTTCTCTAAGTCCCCAAGGCATAAATGTGCCTCTCCTCTCCTCTGTCATGCACTACGCAGGAAAACAGCTTGAGTGCAAGTTCTCAAGTCACACAGCGACCACCAGGAAACCCCTATCTTTCATGTTCCCTTGACCCTCTGCCCTCTCAATCTCCAGTCACTTTTCCCCGCCACCTGGGATACTCCCCTATATAGAGACATCACCACATACCAGAGCTCTGGGCCACAGTCCAGAGCTGGGCTCAGACTACTATGGCCCTACTCTCTTCCACCCAGAAGCAGCCTCCTCAGAGGAGTGCCCACCCCACCCTAAGCCAGCCCTCAGCAAGTACACCCTCTCTAACTGAGGGTACCTATGAGGGCGCTTAAAAAATTAATGGAAAAATGGAATGAAAAGATAATAGAATTTTTTCAGGAATTTGTGAAGCCCCCTCATATAAATGAAGTGTGTGTGTGTGTGTGTGTGTGTGTGGTTTACTGGGCTCTGGGCCCAGAAGAGAGGTGGGGAAACAGAAAGGGACATGTAGGGTACCCTACCCATAGACAGGCTCTAGATAACACTTGGAGATACCCAAAATGTTAATCACCAATAATGCAGTTCAGGTGGAAAGGGCAACTTTATTATGTGTAAAATGGACTTAATGTGGTGGGAACTGTGGGTTTAATTTCTTAAGATAAGGTGCTTTTAGGCAAATCAGCTTGTCTCAGATGCTGGATATAAAGGAGCGAAGTAGACTTTCTTGACACAGCTCGGAGGAGCCAGAAAGTAGGAAGACGAGAGTTCTACCCTGTCCTTCTAGAAGAGCCAGAGAAGAAGTCTGGTAAGAGAGATGCTGGGATGAGGAGTGGACGGGTTGAGCTGGAGAGGAGGGGGACCTTGAAACCCCTGAGATGCCCAGCATCCTTGTGTTCACTTTCTCTTCCTCTATGTAAGAATTAGGAGGGTAGCCAAGGCAGGAAGATGAGGTTCTATAGCCAACACATCTCTAGGTCTAGCTTTGGTTTGCAGGCCTTGGGAGGGAGGGTCTCCACTATTCTTTCTCTCTACCAGAGACCCATAGATGAAATGGATCAGGTCTGAGGTAGAAGTGTAGAATCAGACTGCAGGAAGAACTTCCCTGATACTTAAACCTGAAAAGAGGAGATTAGGACAATTCTATGTATCATTTTCATTAAGGGTAAGAGGGCTACAGTGAATTAGGAAACAGCCATTTGGAGAACAGCAAGACTGGTGGATACAAGTCTTAGAGGGTTCTGAGGAGATAATCTTTCCTACCTACATGCCTATGAAGTACAGCTCTGAAGCTGGGGTGGGGGTGGGGAGTGGAGAACTACTCCAGCACTGGGGTCTTCACTGCTTTATCTCCCCTGGATCTCTCCCTCATTGCCCCTTTCCCCCTTACTCAGACCCCATCTATGTAGTTGGTGTTAGGTCCCACTGAGTCCATTCCAACTCATAACAACCCTGTATAGGGTTTCTGAGGCTATAAATATTTACCAGAGCAGAAAGCTCATCTTTCACCCATGGAGCTGCTGATGGGTTTGAACTGCCAACCTTGTGGTTAGGAATCCAGTGCTTATCCTACAGTGCCACCAGCACTCCTACCCCATCAATAAACCAAACCAAACCAAACCAAAAGCACATTTTACCTCTAGTCACTAACACAAGGAGTCCTGGTGTGACACTGTGGGTTAATGCGCTGGACCGCAAGGTCAGTTTGAATCGAATCGCAAGGTTGAGGGTTCGAGCTCACCAACTGCTCCTCGGAAACCCTATACAGTGTCGCTATGGGTCGGAACAGACTTGATGGCACTTAATAACAATAACAACATCCAGCATTCCCACATGCCCCAAAGCGTTGCTCCAGCCTGTTAGAAAAGCTCCAGTCCCCAGGGCTGAGCCTCACTCCAGCTAGAAGCTGCTCCCTCAGCACAGTGCTTTCTGCCTTATCTTGGTCCTTTGGTTTCTTAGTCAGGCTATAGCCCTTGGAAGATGGTGACCATGAAGATCTTCTCTCTGTTGCTGACATCCCTGCTCCTGGCAGTGGTGCTGGGGGAGAAGGAGGAAGGTCACTTCAGGTAGGAGTGATGGGAAGGGAGGGATCAGCGGTAGAGGAAGGGGCTGAGGGGAAGGCTGGGTTCTGGGCTCTGTTGAGGGGAAGTGAGAGAGAAAAGAAGCATAAGGAAAAACTTTACAGCCATGTGAGTGCAGAGTGAGAACAGAATCAGAGAGTATTAAGAACCAGTGTTGCAGCAGGAGACACAGTGGTTAGATACCTGGAAGGACTTCTTGTGGCTAAATGTCTGAATATGACAAAAATATCCTTTCTTAGAAAATGCTTTAGCCATTCATTTTTACATGTACTCATTATTATTTTATAGAGAGCCTTATATAGGTTAGGCATAGAGGATCTATGTGAATGAGGGTCTACAAATGGCTCCTATACTCATGGAGCATAGAGGTCCAAGAGATAACAAAGAACCCCAGAGGCATGTTGCAAAGAATCATGAGTCCTGTGAGGATAGAGAGTTTTATGAGGGAATAAAGCAGGGAACTCTGTGGTTTGTCTGAGGAAAGAGTTGGGCATTCTCAGATGCAAGAAAAAACATATGGCCGTTTAAGTTTTAGGTATAGGTACAGAGGCTAAGAGAGGCTTGTGTAAAGGCTAAGAACCCAGACTTAGGGTCAGGCTGCTAAAGGGTAAGTCGTGCACCTGCCACTTGGTACTTTATGATAAATTTATCTCTCTGCATTTTGACTTCTTCATTTATAAAGTGAAAGTAATAAATAGTATCAACCTTAGTCCTGGTGTGCACCATGGGATAAGCACTGGACCATAAAGTTGATTTGAACCACAAGGTCGGCTTTGCAATCTCACCAGCTACTTCTCGGAAACCCTAATACAGGTGGCTCTGAGTCGGAATCGACTCGACAACACTTTAACAACTTTATAAAGATGCAGTAAAGGTAAAATGAGTTTCTGTATTATAGTAAGAATTCCTGATTCATGCTAAGCACTGTTCTATGAGAGTTCACTGTCTCTGTGATCGAATGTGAAGCAAAGAAGTGAATCAGGAAGGGTCAAGTTAAGTGCAGTAAAGAGGGGAGCCATTTGACTCGTTCCTTAGAGATGAGAGGCTCAGAATCCGTAGATACCCACACTGAGAATGGACCATTGAGGTGGAGTGACAACAGGGGTCTCCATAATAGTCTGCTTTGCTTTCAGATATCTGCTTCCTATTAGCAACAACCACTAATTCCCTACATTGTCATTCCCCCCACTCTATATAGGAGCACTAGGGAACTCTGGTAGCGAAGTGTTACAAATAGGGCTGCGAACCGCAAGATCAGCAGTTCGAAACTCCCAGCTGTCCCGCGGGAGAAAGATGAGGCGTTCTGCTCCCGTAAAGATTTACAGACTCGGAAACCCGGTACAGGGTCGTTATGAGTCGAAACTGATTCCAAGGCAAGCAGCAGCAGCAGCATATAGGATCACTAGACATTGTGGTGTGACGCTGTGGGTTAATGCGTCAGACTGCAAAGCCGTTTGAGCTGTAAGGTTGGTTTCCAACTGCTCCTTGGTAACCCTATACAGGGTCGCTATGGGTCGGAACTGACTCAACAGCACTTAACAGTAACAACAGCAACTCCTCTGACACCCTGGTCTTCTCTCTCTTTCCCCTCCCTCCCATAAGACCCTACCCTAAGGTCGGTGGCTCTCAACCTCGAGGCCCAAGATATGCTGAGGGGACATTCATCAGTGACTACAGTATTACCATGGACAAGATCCGACAGCAAGACTTTGTGAACTGGCTGCTTGCCCAGAAGGGAAAAAAGAATGAGTAAGTCCTTGTGCCACCACCCCTCCTGGTCCAGGTCCCTGGGTTCTACCCTTCCTTCTACATTCAGACCAGGCCGTCATGCACATAGGGGTGTGAGACATGCCACTCCTGGTGGCATCTTTCACTTAGTGAAAGGTCATCTTTCACTTAATGATGGGTCATTATCCTGGTCATGACAACCCTAGTAGTGGGTCCCTGAATGGGATAGCAGCTCCATCTGTGAGCAGGAGTAGGGTGATTTATCAAGCCTTTACTTTTTTTTCTTTTTTTTTTTTTAACTGAAATGGACTTATACTGGCCATTTAAAGCCTGACAATCACATGGTTTACTATGCTGGGAATAACAAATTGAAGAGGAATGGCGTCGTATTCATTATCAAAAAGAATTATCAAGATCTGTCTTAAAATACAATGCTAGGATACTATCCATACGCTGACAAGGAAGACAAGTTAATACCATTATTATTCAAATTTACACACCAACCGCTAAACCAATAATGATGAAATTGAAGAATTCTACCAACTTTTTCACTCTAAAATTTATCAAACATGGAATAAACATGTATTGATAATGACTGGTGATTGGAATGCAAAGTTTGGAAACATAGAAGGACCCGTAGTTGGAAAATATGACCTTGGTGAAAGAAATGATGCTGGAGATTGCAAGATAGAATTTTGCAAGAACAATGATTTCTTCATTTCAAATACATTTTTTTTTTAAACTTTTTTTTCAATTCTTTACTTTTAAAGGTGTCCCTGTAGTATAAGTGGTTAATTCACTCAACTGCTAACCAAAAGATTGGCAGTTTGAATCCACCTAGAAACACCTCAGAAGAAAGGTCTGGTGATCTACTTAGGAAAAAACAGCCATTGAAACCTTATTGAGCACAGTTCTACTCTGACATACAAGGGGTTGCTATGACTTGGATTAGATTCCACGGCAACTGCTTTTTGGTTTTGCTTCTAAAGAAAAGGTGTTGGGAAGATGTGTGGGTTAGGGATAAAGGCAGGAGGAATTGAGCTGTTTCCAGTGACTGGTGGTGGTGGAAATTTCAGACAGACATTGGAGACAGGACAGCTGCTTCTCTCTGCCATGTCTCCTTCCCTGCCCTTGATGTTTGGTCAGCACAGTAGACTCTGGAAAGCTGTTCACTGTGGAGGGGGGAGGGGGCAGCTAAAGAGGAGCAGAGGAAGATGGAGTGGAACACCCTCTGCTTCTGAAGTTGAGGTACCAAAAGATTCAAGAATCGCTGGACTAGAGGAGGCCTGGAGTCTCACCAGCCCCACCCACTCCATAATCTTTCTTTTACCAGCTGGAAACACAACATCACCCAGAGGGAGGCCCGGGCCCTAGAACTGGTCAGTCAACCTAACAAGGAAAAGCCAAGGTGAGTCAGAGAGAAGAGTTGGGAAAGACCTCCTGACTGCTTACCCTCCCCCACTTCATTGTTCCCTGTCCCAGATCTGGGGCAGAGCAAAAGCCTATGATAAGCACCCCCTTCCACTCAAGAGTTCAAAGAGGTGGCTTCACTGAGCAAACTTCCAGAGGTCAGGGCAGGCTTAAGGAAGAAGCCTTGGAGGGGTGGAGGAGGGGTCCTGGGAGGAGTTTCTGAGCCAGAGTTTCTAAGATTGATGTCTTAGCACGCAGACTGAGTCCCTGGGTCAAGGAGAGAGGAACTGGCCTCCCCACTTCTCCCAGTCATGCCTCAAGAAGGCTGTGGAATGGGGAGACTCTTCCAAGGACAGTCCTCTGAAATCAGTTACTCCCTTCCTAGGGAAACCGAGGCATCTGTGGCACAGGTCATGCTGAAGAGTGAATGTCCCCAAAGTAGCCCTTTAGGTTTGGGGAATGCATTCTGGGATATTTTTTCAAGTTGGATGGTGGGCTATCTCACACTAGAATTCTGTTGGGCTTTGCCTGTATTGAAAAGGCTGTCTTCCCCCAGGCAGGCAGAGCTGGGTGGAGTCCTCAGAAAGGTGGATGAAGTTTGAAAGCTGACATAATTGAGAGGCAGCTGTGTTGACTCTCCACACTCCCACCCAGGTCCTTGATGTCCCAGACCGCTGCACTTAATGCTTTCTCCTTTGTAGCTCCCCACCCAAGAACTCCAGTGATGAAGATTTGCTAAGGGATTTGTTGATTCAGGAGTTGCTGGCCTGGATGGTAGATCAGATGGAGCTCTGCAAACTCAGGTAGGAGTGTTGGGTGACTTTGGGCATATTGTACTGTGATTATAAATTTGAACTTTGGGGTCAGGCCTGGTTACAGGTCTTTGCTCCAGCACCCCTTGGTTGTGTGACTTTTGGGAAATTATTTCATTTTTCTGAACCTTGGTGTTTTCATTAAAACTGGGACCATTAAAACCACCTCATGGAATTGTTCAGATATTTAAATAAGAGTATGCAAGTGAAGAGTTTTAAGGAGACATCTGAGTAGTAATAAGAACTCAATAATGTTAGTAGCTGGAGTTCCGGTGTGGCGCTGTAGGATAAACGACCGCAAAGTCGGTTTGAACTGCAAAGTCGGCAGTTTGAACTCACAAGCCACTCCTCAGAAACCTTATACAGGGTTGCTGTGAGTGGGAACCAACTTGAAGGCACTTAACAACAACAATGTTTATAGCTATTGTTACCGCTTGTACTTCTGTCTCCGTTTCTCTCACATCTCCTGCTAGCCACTGTTAGGTTTCCTGTTCCCTTTATGTCCTTGTCCCATGGCACAGTGATAGTGAGAATCCCTATAGTCGGAAGCAGTTTGCCCTTCTTTACAGCCACTGCTGGCCTCATTGGTCTCTTCAGGCCACCGTAATCAAAACCTATTGCTGTGGAGTTGATTGGGTCATAGCAAACCCATAGGACACAGTAGAACTGCTTCATGGGGTTAGCAGGTGAAGTTCTGGTGTTGTGCTGTAAGATAAGTACTGGGCTGCCAACCACAGGGTTGACAGTTTAAACCCATGAGCTGTTCCTTTGACGTCTTATACAGGATCATTATGAATTGGAACCAACGCTACAGCACTTAACAACAAAGATAATCTACCAAAATTGACTGCTGCATCTTTCTCCCTAGAAGCTTTGGTGGCGAAGTAGTTAAAGGCTCAGCTGCTAACTGAAAGGTGATCAGTTTGAATCCACCAACTGCTCTGTGGGAGAGAGAGGTACAGGTCACCTTACCATCTAGGAAACCCTCCAGTCTATTTAGTCATCTCCCAGAATATCAAAACAAAACCCACTGTCAGGACAGATATTGGTGGAACCCCAAAATTATGGCCTTAGGCCACCCTTCAGGGCTGGAACTGAATCACCCTACCTCCACACTCCACTCATACTCTCTAACCCCCTTTGTTCAATTTTCAGCCAAACAAATGTTGTTATTATTGTTAAGTGCCATCCTGTTGGTTCGGACTCACAATGACATTGTATAGAGTTTTCAAGGAGTAGCTGGTGACTTTGAACTGCCAACCTTCCCTTTGAGTTAGCAGTCCAGTGCTTATCCCATAGCACCGCCCCAGGTCTCCTTAGCCAAACAATAGGCAGGTCTATAAAGAGAACAATAACACTTGGGAAGATGGAATTCCTTAGACTAATCAAGAATTTGAGGAACCCAAGGACAAAGTTCAGAAGGGTTAGGCAAGAAGTAGGAATGGAAACCAAAAACATAGGGAGGACATAGGATAAGTGATGTTACCTTGTAGGGATTGCAATCAATGACATGCAACAAAATGTATATGAATTATTATTGGAAAACTGATTTGCTCTGTAAACTTTCACTCAATTCATAATAAAAGGTACAAAAACACTAAACTAAAACAAAACAAAAAACCCACTGCCATCTGATCAATTTTGACTCAGATTGACCCTGTAGGACCAAGTAGAACTGCTCCTTAGTGTTTCAGACACTGTAAAACTTTACAGAAGCAGATGGTCTCATCTTTCTCCTTCAGAACTGATGGGATTTGAACTGTTGACGTTTAGGCTAGCAGCCTGATACTTAACCCACTGTGTCAACAGAGCTCTTTTCCCAGAACATAACATGATTAAACACTATGGAGAGAACCATCCAGATAGGACACTCATTCACAATGCAGATACCGAGGCACAGAAACCAAAACACCATCAGATTTTGGTGCTAAGAAGTTAGGGATGGGATGAGAGAGTAAACCTGGGAAGATTCCCTGTAACTGAACTAAGATAAGAGCGAGGAATGTGACCAGACCAATGGAGAAGAGTGGAGTGTGAGAAAAACTTCATAGGAAGATGGGGACTGGTCTCTGTACATTCTGGATTATTTTGATTATTTATAATTAAGATGGAAATTTACAGGTAGAATAGATTTAACCATGAATGAGCACCAGGATAAATGTTCGTTGCTTATACCAAGTCAGTGTCAGTAATGAATCTTCTCTCTGCCACTCTCCTTTTCTCCACTCTCTCCAGGTTTCAGTGATTCTGACCAAACTCAACTCAGAGCTGGATTCTGTGCTTCACTTACTCAGCTCCTGCCTCAGCCCTACTACACAATACCCATGAGAAGACAAGCTAATAAAGTTTAAGTTGAAATAATCATCAATTGTTAAATTTTATTCAAACATCTGCTGAGAACTAGGAAGGAGTCCATCTTTTCATGTTTATCATGATGATATTTATTGTTCCTTTTGTAAAGATTTTTATTTCCTTTATAGAGGTGTAATAGTGTAGTGGTTACTAATCAGCCTGCTAACCTCAGGGTCAGCAATTCGAAACTACCAGCTGTTCTGCGGGAGAAAGATGAGGCTTTCTGCTCCCGTAAAGGTTTACAGCCTCGGAAACCCTGTACAGGGTTGCTATGAATCGGAACCAACTCCACGTCACATAACAACAACAACAACAATCCATACAAGCTATAAGAGGAACATTAACTAACACTAACATCACTTTTTCTACTTTCTCCCTATATTTTCGGTTTCCATTCCTACTTCTTGCCTAACACTTCTGAACTTTGTCCTTAGGTAGATGCTACCTTTTTGACCTCAAATCCTTGATTAGTCTAAGGAATTCCATCTTCCCTAGTATTACTGTTCCCCTTATAGAGCTGCCTATTGTTGGGCTAAGGAGCTCTGGTAGCGTACTGGTTACGAATCGGGCTGTGAACCGCAAGGTCAGCAGTTCGAAACTACTAGCTGCTCTGCAAGAGAAAGATGAGGCTTTCTGCTCCCATAAAGACTTACAGCCTCGGAAACCCTGTTCAGGGTCGCTATGGGTCGGAACCGACTCGACAGCACTTAAAAACAACAACAATTGTTTGGCTATGGAGACCTGGGGTGGTGCTATAGGATAAGCACTGGACTGCTAACCAGAAGGTCCAAAGTCACCAGCTACTCTTTGGAAACCCTATACAAGGTCACTGTGAGTCCGAGCCAACTGGATGGCACTTAACAACAACAAGCCTGTAGTCTTTGATTTTCATCAGTAAGTGTTTCAAGTCCTCTGGGCTTTCAGCTAACAAGGTTGTTTCATCTGGATATCACAGGTTGTTCATGAATCTTCCTCCAATCCTGACGCTACATTCTTCTTCATAGAGCCCAGCTTTCTGATTATTTGCTCAGCATACAGATTGAATAAATATGGTGGAAGTATACAACACTGCCACACACCTTTCCTGATTTTAAACCATTCACTATCCCCTTGTTCTGTTAGAAAAATTGCCTTTTAGTCTACGTACAGATACGGACAGGTTCCACATGAGCACAATTAAGTGTTTTGGAATTCCCATTCTTCACAATGTTGTGCATACTTTGCTAAGATCCACATAGTTGAGTGCCTTTGCATAGTCAATAAGACATAAGTAAACATCTTTCTGATATTCTCTGCTTTCAGCCAACATCTATCTGACTGTCAGCAATGATATCCCTTGTCCACATCCTCTTCTGAATTGGACTTGAATTTCTGGCAGCTCCCTGTTGATGTATTGCAAACATTTTTTAATTCTCATCAACAAAATTTTACTTGTGTGTGATATCAATGATGTTGTTGTTGTTAAGTGCCGTCAAGTTAGTAACAGTGTTTCCCAGGATCAGCTGGTAAGTTTGAACCATTGACCTTGTGGTTCAGACCGACCTTGCGGTCCAGTGCTTATCCTACAATGCCATACCAGGACTCTTAATATGTTGTTAATACATAATATCAATGATATTATTGTTGTTAGGTGTCGTCAAGTAGGTTCCAACTCATAGCGACCCTGTATAGAGTTTCCAAGAAGTCACTGGTGAGTTTGAACCACTGACCTTGTGATTCAGACTAGCCTTGTGGTCCGGTGCTTTATCCTACGGCGCCACACCAGGGCTCCAATATTAATGATAGTGTTAGATAATTTCTGAATTCAGGTGGGTCAACTTTCTTTGAAATGAACACAGATATGGATCGCTTCCAGTCAGTTACCAAATTCAAATTCCTTGGCATAACTAGTAAGTTCTTCCAGTGGCACATCAGTTTGTTGGAACACTTCAATTGATATTCCATCAATTCTTGGAGCCTTGATTTTTCCTAATGCCTTCAGTGCAGCTTGGACTCCTTCCTTCAATATCACTGGTTCTTGATCACATTCTCCCTTCTGAAAGGGTTGGGTGTCAACTAACTCTTTTTGTATCGTGACTGTGTATTCTTCTATCTTTTTCTTTCTTTTAAAACTTTTTATTGAGAATTGAGTGAAGGTTTACAGAGAAGATCATTAGTTTAACATCCATCAAATCACATACTTTGTTTCATTACAATTATTGCAATCCCTTCCACGTACCATTACTTAAAGTATTTACCTCTGTTCACTTTAACTCTTGCATTCCTCCCTGTATCTCCTGCTACCTTCATCTCTCCTCTGCCAAACTCCCTCTTGTTGTATAGTGCCTGTCCCATCAGCCATGTTAAACATGTGTCTATGTTCTATCCCGTGAATAATTTTCTTTTCCCTCCCACCCCTGGTAACCACCCTAGATTGTTTCTTTTATGAAGAAAACCTTTTCTTAACTTTTTACAACATTGATCTAACACAATATTTGTCCTTTTGTGGTTTACTAATTTCACTTAGCACAGTATCCTCCAACTTCACTCATGTTGTGAGGTGTTTTGTAGCTTCGTTGTGATTCTTCAGTGTTGCATAGTATTTCATTCACTATGTGTGTGTACCAAAGTTTCTTTTACCACTCTTCTGTTGATAAGCATTTA